ACAGCTCCCTGTCTTTTCTGCCTCCAGTTTCTACATGCACCAAGAAATGCTGACCATTCCCCAGCATAGACTCAGCACAAAAATGTGAGAACCCAGGAGGCAAATTTTCCAGTGTCTTCACATCATGAATTATGTTCAAAGTGCTGCAGTTACTCCACAAATAAATAAAATGACCTTATTCAGTTTTGCTGAGGGAATGAGGAAGCGTTCCATGGCAGTGATATAAACACTGAAGCTGTGAGTAGCCTCGATTTCAAAGGGCACTGATATACAAATAAGGTCTGAGCTGAAGTCTGCCTGAAACCAGGGCGGTGCACTCCTAATGGCTGCTTTTGCTACTTTCAGCCAGTCTCCAGGGAAAGACAAGATTTTCACCCTGGACAATGTTTTCACATAAGCCAGATGAGGTTGTGAAAGTGGGTGTCATGCAGATAATTAGAACTATCCAAATAAAGAGTAATGCACAGTGTAAGTCAATTTGGGGGTTTTATTTTTCTCTTTCAAGTGGTATGGGCAAATGTGTTCTCTTTTATTTTTCTGTGTGGTACGGGCAGATTTTTTTTTCCCATTGTTTGAGGTATCACATACCTTTTTGAGACTGTTTAAAAAAAAAAAAAAAAAAAGATATTGCCTTCCAGAGTTTAAAACAAGTAATGTTCTCAGTAGATTAAAGACAGGGATAGAAATAATGCCTAGCTATAGAGCCAACCCATGTACTTGGCAAGCATAGAAAAAGCCACATTAATTCTCTACCAGAGATAACACAACATCCCTGAATAAATACAAATTAAGAGACAGCCACTTGGTGGACTTTAAAACAGTGCAAGAAATGGCTTTCAAATCTGAGTAGAATCTTAAAGAACATGGTACATTAAGTGGACAAACAGACACAAAATTTTAGTATGTATATCACAACTAAAATAAAATATAAAATGTAAAAACCATAAGATAAAAAATAAACACATGGAGAAGATAGCAACGGTTACACTATGTTGGGGGAGCCGTTTTCAGCAGGGGAGAGTTTTCCCAGTTTTTATAATATGGTTGCTCTTCTTTTCATATTCGATTGGAAAAATGGAAAAAAAAATAAAAGAAATTGTCTTCAACCAAGAAAAGTTTGCTAAATGTATGATTTCAAGGAGGCAGGGGTGGAAAGGAATCTGGGGTGGCACCTTCAGAGGTGCCAGGACCCTGTGAGGTGTGTGATGGGGCAGAGAAGGGAAGGCAGGATTGAGGCCAGAGAGCCTAGGGTGGTCAGCACTTGGCTATAAGGTCTGAACGCGGATAAAGGGAAGGCACTGTGGCTGGGAGGAGGAAGAGCTGGGCCCAGGTTAAGGCTTTCAAGAGCTGGCTCTGGAGCCATAATAAAACCTTAGAGCCTGGTGTGGAAGCCACACTCGCATACAGACAAGAGATGAAAGCAGGAACCAGGGTCTAGAAAGAGGAACAACAGGATGTACCAGCTCCTAGAAGAGGAGCACTAGTCAAAAGGCCTCAGTGTTGCCAGACCACCAGGTTTCTCTAGAAGCTGCTTAGGAAGGGATCAGGCCTAGTCAGCTAACACATCCTAAAATGTCCAACTGTGAGCAGAATACACAGGGAGGGTCATTCCAGAGACCTTCTGAGATGTTGGTAAAACAATACAGAAAAACAAGGCTTTTTTGACAACAGAAACCCATCGGCTTAGCGAGAAATCACAGGAGAAACAGAAGAGTCCAAGTAAGAAACACAGCAACAATATTTTTTAAGAGGCAACGGCATTTCAGTCCAGCGCGTTTCACTTCACTGCTTCTAAAGATGCAGCACGAAGGTGTGTTTTTCTCTTTTTCTTGTGCTGGGCTCCCTGCACTGCACACCTGCCAGAATACAGCTAAACTCCTAAGACAGATGAACTTGAAGACATGATTCTCCAAGTATAACACTCTTTCTGCAGTCTCTAATTTTTTTCATCATGCATCCCAACAGTAGAAAAAACATAAACATACAAGAGTCTCAATACACTGCAATATATGTGCATATTTATACATCAATTATATGAGTACTATCAGCCATACATAGAAGCCATGGCAAATGCTTTAAAAAACTAACAAGGCATGAATACTAACTTCTGACGTCTTTTTCTTATATTTAGATGAACAGTCTTTCCTTTCAAACCACTAGAATAGCCACTAGTTTACCCAGTCAGTTGGACTGGACCCAACTCCTTTGTCATACGGGAAGCAAGGAATCTCTGGCAAGGCTGCATCCAAGTTCACTGTGGGGAGGTCCTGGATTGTGGGGTGCAGGAGATACTGTTTTCTACTGCAAATTCTCTAGCCCAGGCACAGCTCGACATGATGAATATCTGGAACTGCTTCATTTCCCTACTCATTTGCATACTTCCTCTATTCAAGGCAGCCTCGTCCTCGAGAAAGTTTTCCATCAACCTGTTACCTGATGGATTTAGCAGCCACTGATGATGACTCGCTGCACCGTCTCATTAAGGGTTTCAAAACGCTGATTTTCTAATTCTCCATTTCTTTTACATTTATTAGCTCTGATTTTCCCATGATTAACAACTTTTTCTCATCAACCATTTGATTACCTTCAAATATAATTTGTGCTAGAAAGGCGGGAGGATCAAAGCTGGGTTCCCCACCCTCTCTTTCAGAGTAATGAGTTGGTATCCTAGCAACTTGCATAGGTGACCAGCTACATTTTGTGGGATTTTCTTCCTCGGCACATCATTCTGGACTTGATTATTTTTTAAGTGTTTGATTTCAATCCAGTGCAGTCAGTTTTCTTTTGATGCTCAGACTACCCCATCTGGGGATCCTGTGTCCTCCTAACCCCACCCCAGTGGTCCTTCTTCGCTTCCTTCCCTTTTGGCATAAGACATCCCATCTCAAATATCTCTGGCCTCAAACCTAAAACCAACTATTTATCCTTGGAAGCAGCAAAAGGTATTTAGGAAATCCCAATCAGAGCACTCAAATATTCACTGCCACTCACTCAGCTACCTTTCCTCCTAGTTCTTTCCAAAGTATATAATTAAAAAACATTTTCTTTTTAAAGCAAAAAAAAAAAAGATATTCATATTGATATTTCTTATTCAAACTAACGAGTGTTTTTTACTTCAATTCTTTAAGTACTCCCCTTTCTTATATACTGAAAATCTTATTCTCTATACTATAACAGTTTCAAATAGTAGTACAAATATTTCTTACTACGAATGCATGATCAAAACACTGCTTTTGGTGTTATGAGTGATTGCTGATGTTTGGGCATGCAGGTTTTTTTTCTTTTTTTAAAGGCAATGAAATGTGTCAAGCTTCTTCCTCGTTTCTGAATTCTGAGTCAGAGTTAGGAAATTAATACCTCTCCCAGGCTGATAGAATTTACTCCATGTTTCTGACCATAGTTACATTTTAAACAGTGAACTTCTTTCAACTCAATCAACTAATAATTTTAAACCCTCCATCCATGAAAACAAAAATAGGTTTGCCAGACTCTGTATTCCACCATTCTACCCTTTCCTTCTACACCTCTCCTTCTACAGCTTAGAGACAGGGAAACGCCATCTGTTGGAGGGCATGTGCCTACTACATCATTCAGGCAGTTTGGGCCATTTTGGACACAGGAAACACCTTATGTCACTTACACTCAGTTCACTTTTTAGGTTCCTGTGTGACTTGCCCTAATCTCTAAAAATTTCATGCAAAGTCAAACTGTAGGCTAACTCTAATGCCTCACCAGGCTGACAGTCATCTGTCACCTAATGTGCCCTGAACTGGCCCAAGGGCAGGTTCCGAACAGGACAATATAGCTCCAGGAAAAATAATAATGCTGTCACACATACAACATGTTCTCGTCAATTTCTCTGAGCTAAAAAAGAACATTTAAACACAAACCGATTATTAGCTGTTTCCTTTCTTAATTCTCCCTCCTCGGGCCCAACACCTAAGGGTTAGTCCAAGGTGTTCACGGTTACATTCAGTGAGCCTAAGGAAAGCGCCTTCTTTGGGTGGTTACCTACAAAGAGAAGTTCGGGCAGCCACGTGGGGAAAAGGCTGGCCACGGGTTTCCTAGTTCTTGACTTGACAAACCAAACAGATTGACAAATCAGAAACAGGAATCTCTGGATTAAAATTATACTGACATTTTTGGGAAATGGGCATTCTTTATTCTGTGCATCCAAATTAACTGCTTAACTCATGTGGCCTTCCATTTCTAGAAGAGAGCTTCACCTTGTCACTATGGTGTGCTGACTTAAACAAGAAATTTATTTTGGGCACAAATGCTATTAGACTTGATTCTTGGCTTTACAGTCCTCAGCTAACGAAGACCTGAGGCTAGAGGCAGGTAAGAAATGGAGACTATGGGGAAAGTAGACCAGAGAAACAGAAAACTCCCAAGAGTCTTGCAGTGGGGCCAGTTTCTCCTGCACTCTGCTCTCACTGCATCACTACACAAAATATTCACTGTTGTTGACAATGACAACACCAAGTCACCAAGAGAAGTCATTTCATTCTGTGTTGGCAATTTAAAAAGGCAATAAAGCAGGAAACAGTTTAAAATAGTTCCAATTAGAAAAGGCTAGATTATTTCCTCTTTAATAAGTTTGATGCTTAAATAGCTAAGATGGAATTACCTGTAAAATGGATTGACCTCATTTCTCATGAATGATGAAACAGACCCTCACCAGCAACGGCATGGCACCAGGCATGCTTAATGCCTGCCAAGCTGGAGGCCACCAAAGTCCTTCCCCACATGGTTTCTCAAGATCATTTGTATTGAACATTTTTCCCCCCTGGAACATTTTTGAGGCTTTTCACAAAATTCTCACATAAGTTTTCAATTAAATTATAGAAAAAAAAATCAATGATTCCCAATGCAAAAGCCTCACATTTCCACAGCAAAGGGTCCAGCGTAAAAATTAGCAAATAGATGCTTATTTACTTAATTTTCCCCTCTACCTTTGGTGGCATTCTGGAAAGCAGAGGAAAAACACAGATACTCACGGAACATGGTATAAAACTGTTGAGGGTTCAGATTCCATTTTCCCCAGGGAGTCTTATGGCCTTTAGACTGGGCATAATTCGCATGGTTAAACTCTGGTTCAGTTCCAAAGGAATCAAGGACTCGGAGCATACACCTGAAAGAAAAAGAGGTATCTTTAAGCCAACCACCTTGACCCCAAACTATAAGCCTTTCACCTTGAACTCAAACTTCAAAAGGGAAAAGCTCTAATCCTTTCTTCAAAGACCACCCAAAATGGACAAATACTGTATATTAAAAATGCTATTATACAAGAATTGAGAGGCTATTTTTTGGGGGGGAGGGGGTCCTGAGAATCAAACCCAGGGTCTTGTGTAGTCTAGGCAAATATTCTACCTAGAGCTCTATTTCCAGCCTGAGAAGTTTTAAAACAGCTAGCATATAAACATCTCCATGCAGGACTTGAGAGCCTAAGTCATCACACAGCAGATAGCATTTGCTGCAGACTGGATGACTAATCACAGAGGTGGCTCCGATAGCAGTTAAATGAAAAGTTCCATGAAAGCTGGATCCGGGGACCACGATATTCTCTGCTGGGTGCACCCAGCCAGAGTTAAGGATATAGTAGGTGCCTAATCAGCAGATATTGAAGAAACAAAGAACTACCATCTCTGCAGGTCTTATTCAGCTTAAAGCACAGGGTATGCATCACCTCTTTCAGCCCTTGTTCAACACTTACGTTACCTAGGCTATTTGATTTTGGGTAAAGCTTATGTTGTAGTTTGAGGTATTCCCTGAAAGTTCCTGTTTCAGAAACTTAATTTTCAAATTCACATGCTTATGGTATTTAGAGGTAGAGCCTTTGGAGGCAGTTAGGGTAGAGGGGATCATGGAGGAAGACATGCTGGCATTAGTGACTTTATGAGAAAAGCAATAGAGACCAGAGCTTGCAGGCTCCTTCTCCTATCACCTGGTGCCCTCCACATGGGACACAGCAAGATGTGACCTATCCATCTTGGAGCTTCCAGCCTCCAGAATGGTGACGAACAAATTTCTTTTCATTATACATTACTCACACTTAACACAAAACAGACTGGTTAGTTGACGTAAATGTTGAACAACCGCTGAAAGAGATAAAGAGACCAGATGTCTCCTGGACACTTAAAAAATGGACTATGCTTAGAATCTCATTTCATAGGGAGTGCTGGGTTTTATGTATTTATTAACAATAGAACTTTACTGCTTTCTCCTGCAGCCTGAAGAAATACAACTGAAGGTGTTTCATTTGGCTATATTTCCAAGGCCTAAAACAGGGCCAAATCTAGCCTACCACCATTTGGGGGGCCAGGAACTAGGAATGGCCTTTACATTCTTATATGATTTTTTTTTAAAAAAAGAGAATAACTTTGTGACACATGAAAATCATACTTCCATATTACAAAAATAAAGTTTTATCTGAACACAGTCACATCCCATGGTTCCTGTGTTATGTGTGACGGTCTTCACTCTGTATAACAGCGGAGCTGAGAAGGTGAAACAGAGAATATACACATGGGTCACAAAACCCATTGCATTTATTGGCTGGCCCTTTACAGAAGTTTTCTGACCACAGCATTGAAGGGCACAAAGAATGACCAATTGAAGAAGGCAATTAAGGAATCGATACTGAAAAAAATTGACTGATTTTGGTTACACTGATGTTATCACTGATTCTCAAAACATTCCTGTAAACTAAGCTCAGGAATGGCCGATAAAAACTGTTTTTTGTTATTACATAGCAACACCACCTCTGAATGGACCAATGAGCATAAAAGTAAACAAAGATTAAAGCCCACATTTTTTAAAAATGTTTTTTAGTTGTAGATGGACACAATATCTTTATTTATTTATTTTTATATGGTGCTAAGGTTCAAACCCAGTGCCTCACACATGCGAAGCAAGTGCTCTACCACTGAGCTACAGCCCTAGCCCTAAAGCCCACATTTTGAAATGAGATGACAGCAATGACTTTTAAGAATTGCATTTAGTTTCTTTCTTCTGTTTCCTCTATTAGGAAGCCATTATTTCAAGTTTTAATTTTTACTTCAATATAAAATTCTGAAAAAAATCAACCCAAACACCAGATTGAATTTTCCAGAAAACATGTTCATAAATTGCAATTTTTATGTGATTTCCTTCGATTATTTGCCTAGACAAGGAAAATAAGAAGAGAAAAGCTGTAACCACACAAATACAAGTGGACCACAGAAAAAAAATTTCCTTTTTAAATGTTTTGTGTGTGTGTGTGTGCGCGCGCGCGCGCGCCACACTAGGGATTTAGGGATTAAACCCATGGGTATTTTACTACTGAACATTCCTAGTCCTTTTAAAAGAAATTTTTTTTTTTTTTGATAAGAGTCTCCCTAAATTGTTGAGGCTAGCCTCCAACTTGCAATCCTCTTGGCCCAGTCTCCCAAATTGCTGGGGATTTCAGGCAAACTAGTTATTCAAGAAAGGCAGATGAGCATTTCACTCTTCCATTACCCCTCAAGCCACCAAACCTGGCTCTTGTTTGAGATTCTTGTGTGGCTTTCATGGAAGATGCTTTATCACAGTGGCAATATTCACAACATCTTCAGCCTGGCAGACAGTAGGTAGACAGAAATAGAAGCCCACAGTCCAGGAAAAAGAAGAGACCCAAGGAGTTCCTTGATTCTTGTTTTCCCGGATTTGTCAATAGATAGAACATTCTTTTTCTTAAGACATCTCCATTTCTTATGTATATATATATTTTTCCTTTTAAAATAAGATGCAGGAGGAACTGGTTGAATCAGTGTACTTTCTCCTGAAAAACATGGCAGTGTTCAGAACATGGCAGGGGTGATGGTGGTAGCTCTGGAAAGGTCATTCTCAGAGGAAGGGCAGTAGCAGGACGCATGAGGATAAGGAGCTTTACCTTAAAGGTTCAACTTCTTCCACTTGCTTCCAATCACCATCTACACTCCTCTCCAGCATGGGCTGGTAACGTATTTTTAATTTGGCATTTCATTACTGTCATTTTTATGTTTGGACAATTAAAACAAATAGTGATGAGCAAAGTTGCCTAGTGGAGGCTAACTCCTGAAAGCCTGGACTTGGTACAGAGCCGAGATGTAAGGGATGGGATGCTGAGTTCACGGCAACCGAAGGCAGCGATGATCTGACGTCTCCTGGAAACTTACAATTCTGCCTCCTTTCACTGGAGACTTAGGTACTGTGCATTTTCTACCTTACAAGTTTGTTTTCTAAACCAGCAGATTAACCTTTGCCTGTGATATGGGGGATTTAACATCCTAGTTTCCCTTCTTCAATCACTCTCTACCTCTGTTTTGGAATTGTGTTGTTAATATTTATGCCATCTCTCTAATGCCTTTTTGTGTGTGTGGAGCATCAGGAACAGACTAATGACTTGAAAAGATATTTGCCTGGATGCCTGAAGCAGCTAGGCTTCCTCTAACAGGGGCCTCTGCAGCAATGCCAAATGAATCCTGGAACACCCTTAACTCTCAGCACCACTACTTCAAGATGGATGCTCATGACCTGTGTGCATTGATGCACCCTGTAGTTTGGAGTTTGATGTACAACATGGCATATTTTAGAATATTTGCACCGTACTTTCTTGTACGTCCTTGATTCTTAGACAAAGCCTCATGAGGCAAAAGGGGTGTGAGTTTTGAAATATCTAACAGAATATAAGTCACATACAGGCATTTAAACCATAATGTCCCATTGTTTCACTTATGGAACACCTGAAAAACTTAAATTAAGCAACAAATATACCACTTATGGAAATAATGAATTAAATATTTATGTTTTAGAGCTCTAGTCTTCAGAAAATAGAGTGATAATAGATATTAGTGATAATATTCATTATTATTAATGATATCATTAACATTCATAAATTATATAATAAGCTATAGACTATGATTTCAAGCCTATTTGGATGTACCCATGTCAATTTCATTGAGATACAGTACTGATGACTTGGGACTTAATGGGTTAATAAATGTTTGATTGAATGTCTTAGGTGCTCATGTTAATTGGATAGAATTTACAAGTATTCTCCCAGGATCAGCAGGCTTAAAGGGCTTATTCCCATTTGGAAGATCAGATGATAACATTACATGTAATGCAGTTCATACCTTCTTCCATCAACCAAAATGCCTACTGACAGCCCTGACAACTTCTAATTTGAAAAGGGGAAAGAAATGGGCAAGAAACTTCCTAGAAGACCTGCTTGGCATTTTGATGTTTTCCTTGCTCTATCGCGCCAGGAAGCCTGCAGGGTTAAAGCAATAACAGACCCCCCCACCGCTGGTTGCTATTGCTCAGGCAAACTAATTATTAAAGAAAGGCAGATGAGAATTTCACTCTTCCATTACCCCTCTGATGGTGCCTGTTCATCCAACAAGAACCCCATACCAAGCAATGGCCACCATTTTAATAACAGCATCACCCTTCTTAATTGACCTAAACACCACCACTGAGAATACTTTTCCATGCAAATAGCCCTTCTTAATGGCAAAGAAGGAGAATCCAGGGAGGTCCCAATTGCCAACTTTTTGTTATCCATTTTTTCAGATGTCTGCCATTCACAAAATGCTAGAAAACAACAGCCCTGCCTGTCTTTCCTCAAGGCTGTAGCTTAAAAAAAAAAATGTGCTTACTTTGTGGCTTATTAACTGAGAAGAAAGATGGTTATTTCCACATAACTGAGAACAAATGTGATAGCCTATGATTCATGATGACTTCATGACAGGATAAAACATGATGCAAAAGGCAAAATGCTATCCTGGTCCAAACCAAGATTTTAATTGTGTTTTTTACTTATGAAACTATATCCATAGGAAAGGAAAAGAACAGTCTGTATTCCCTCAATTCCTTTCCTGTAAATATTTCACTGCCCAATGAGAAAATCATGGCTGCTGAAAAAAATATAAATTGCAAGAATATTTTATGTATGGGTATTTCTCCCCTCCATGGTTTTTGAGATATTTCTTAGCATTTTCAGTTGAGTTTATGTCTGACTTCTACAGGACTCCCAATCTGATGTCACCTTAGAGATTCAAATTAATAACATTAACTACACTGAAAGAGACTGAGTTCAGTTCAAATCCATTCAAATTCATTTACTTATTTAATTGGAAGCACACTTCAAAACATCTCTCTACCCAATAGCAACAGAAAAGAATCACACAGAGAGATTTCCATCTGGTACTAAATGAAAAATTTTCAGAGTATTTTCTTAGGAAACTAGTTCAAACTACATGTCAGCATTTACTGCCATTGGTACAACATTTATCTACCATTCTTGATGGTAGAATCAACTACGATTCATGCTACTAAATGTGATCTTTATTTAAATTTAGTCACATTTTAATATGTGTGAAAGAAAACTTTTACAGATCATAAGCAAAAACTAGTATCAATGGCAATAGAAGATAGCAAAAACACTTTCTTAAAAAAGCATTAATAGGGGCTGGGGACATAGCTCAGTGCTAGAATACTTGCCTAACATGCACAAGGCCCTGGGCTTCATCACTAGCACTGAAAAAAAAAACAGCTAAATTCAAAATAGTTACTTTTATCTGCTTAAGGCTGGTGTGCAGAGCTACTCTTACTTTGTTAAAAATACATGCAAGTGCTAAAAGAAGAGTCAGAGATAATAGCATCAAACTGCACCTCTTAGACTGAGAGAAAATTGAAAAAAACAATAAATCCCATTTTACAATTTTATGTTATTTAGTGTCATGTTTGTAGACCAGGTAAAATCATTTTGAATACTAAATCATGGTCCCAAACCTATGACCAGGGAAACACTTAAGATAGTCTACTAAATAATAAACACTTTCACGGAGCAACCATGTACCTTGGTCACTCTAAGCACAGGCATATGTTAAAAAGTTCAAGACCTCAGCATTTATACCAGGCATCCTAGTTTTCCTCCTGAGAATGACAAGAATACTAATGAGGGAAAAGGCAAAAAAAATGAGTTATTATCTCAAACTTAAGGACCACAAGAAATGGCATTATTCATATTTGATCAAAATCGCTATTTGATAAAACAGATGAGACGGGTGTAGTCACACTGAGCAAGGAATTCTAGATATCAGGGAGGGTACAAAGGAGGATGGACACTTGTTTTCTCTTTTCAGGACATCAGTGAAAATAATTAATAGCCCTAGGAAGGAGAAAGTCACTTCTGAAATTCCCAGTCTGAATTTCAATTAGGAATGAGAAACACATTCCATGCAGTTCAAAAGATAATATTTAATCATCTTTTTCTACTGAAACCATGAAATCCTTGTTAGGGGTGAAAAAAAAAAAGCACTAAAAATTTAAGTAAGAACAGTATGTAGCACTTACTGGTAATGAACCCAGGATGGTCCCAGGGTTTTCTTGAACTGAGCGAGTCCTACAATATCAATATAAATGAGCTCGACGATTCTGTCTCCTACAGTAGGGCAGCCGGATCGGTTCCCCACTACCTTCTTCATAATTCTGGAAAAGGACAGAAGAGAGAGAAGAAACTATTTATTTTGCGATATTAAACTTGGCAAATAACAAACCCAAAAGTCCTTAGTAGAAATGATGGCATGGCTCTTCCAAACCAGTGGCCTATTTCAAGACTTCCCTCCCCTTAAGGCCAACCCAGAGCTCCAATTCTGCCTCTTACAAAAGCAAATGGTGGTGTATAAACACAGCCTTTGAAATCAAGAAAGACATGGGTCTGACTACATCTCCCGTGTACAGCAGCTATGAGAACTTAAACAAATTACTTAACCACTCTGAATCTTCCTTTCCTCACTTACCAGAAAAAAAAAGAATTGAAAGAAGCTATTAGCACGTCTCTAAGCTCCCTTTTTCTAAACACTTTCAGGGTTTGGCTGCTACGGTACTAGTTATTTGCTACACACTTTCATCTTGTTGTCTATTATTTTCTCCTAACCAGAATGCACTGCAGAACCCACATCATGGCTCATACTTTTTCATTAAGTTTTTTTTTCACTCACCTGCCTGCCCTTCCACCCTGCCATACAAAGCCACACCTGCACCAGGGAAAGACTAAGTACCCGACTGGAAAACCAACTTCCTGTGCAGGAATGAATATGCCATTTATTCAGAAAACAGTTGTCACTGCCCCTTTAATCCTGCTTACAGGAATCCTTCACCACTCTGTGAAAACCCCACTTCAAAGGACGAGTCACACCTAGGCCTCTGCTCTTCAGCTCCCTGCCTCTCTAGGCTCCCTGCTCCCTCTTCTGTGGATTTCTGATAAAGCCAAGGTTTGTATAATCAGTTTTGCATCCTTAGGGTTGGAAAGCATTTTTAGTAAAGGGCCACATAATAAATACTTTCATCTTTGCAGGGCACTCATTCTTTGCCACAATTATTCAATTATTCACTCTAGGAGACAAAACCACAAGAATACAGTTATCTCATACCAGACAAAGGCACCCAAAACATACACTGGAGAAAAGACAGTCTCTTCAACAAAAGGTGCTGGGAAAACTGGGAAATCCATATACTCCTCTCTCTCACCCTGTACAAAATTCAACTCAAAGTGGATCAAAGACCTAAAAATGAGACCAGAAACCCTGCACATTCTAGAAGAAAATGAAGGCCCAACACTCCATATTGGCTCGGGAACTGACTTCCTTAACAAGACTCCCAAAGCACAAGAAGTAAAATGAAAAATCAATAAATGGGATCTTATCAAACTAAAAATCTTCTTCATAGCAAAGGAAACGATCAAGAACATGAACAGAGAGCCTACAGAATGGGAGAAAATTTTGCCACCTGTATCTCAGATAGAGCATTAATCTCAGAATACAAAGAACTCAAAAAAAAACTTAACATCAAAGTTCACAAATAACCCAATCAATAAATGGGCAAAGGAACTGAACAGACACTTCACAGAAGAGGAAACAGGATTGGTCAACAAATATATAAAAAAACATTGAACATCTCTAGCAATTAGAGAAATGCAAACTAAAACTACATGGAGCTGGGTGTGGCGCACACCTGTAATCTCAGCAGCTCGCAGGCTGAGGTAGGAAGATCTTGGGTTCAAAACCAGTCTCTGCAACAGCGAGGCACTAAGCAACTCAGGGAGAACCTGTCTCTAAATAAAATTAAATTAAAAAAAAAATGGCTGGAGATATGGCTCAGTGGTTGAGTGCCTCTGAATTCAATCCTGGATCCCACCCAACCCCCCCCCCAAAAAAAAAAAAAAAACTACATTGAGATTTCATATTATTCCATTCAGAATGGCAATTATCAAGAAAACATGTAACAATAAATGTTGGTGAGGATGGGGGGATACACTCATATATGTTGGTGGGACTGCAAACTGGTGCAACCACTCTGGAAAGCAATATGGAGACTCCTCAAAAAACTAGGATGGAACCACCATTTGAACCAGGTATCTCACTCCTCGGTATATATCCAAAGGATTTGAAATCAGAATATGACAGTAACACAGCCACATCAATGTTCACAGCAGCTCAATTCACAATAGCTCATGGAACCAATGTAGATCTCTTCTACAGATGAATGGATAAAGAAAATGTGGTATACATACACAATGGAATACCACTCAGCCATTAAAAAGAATGACTTTATGACATTCGCCACTAAATGGATGAATATGGAGACTTCATGTTAAGTGAAATAAGCTAAGCCAAAGTTTGAATGTTTTCACGTATATGTGGAAGCTAACCCACAATAAGGAGGGAGAGGGGAAAAAATAGAAGTTCAGTGGATTAGACAAAGGGAAATGAAGGAAAAAGAGGCGGATAAGAAAAGGAAAGAGTGAAACGAATCTGAAATAACTTTCCTGTGTACATATATGAATACACCACAGTGAATCCCACCATTGTGTACATCCTCGAGGATGGAGTCCTAATTAGAATAAGATATATTTCATGCTTGTAGAATTAGATCAAAATCGATTCTACTATCAAGTATAAATAAGAAGAACCAATAAAAAATTATTCACTGTAATATGAAAGCAGCCAAATAATACATAACAGTGGTTGTGTTTGGGCTCCCCTGAAATGTTACAAAACCAGGCAGAGGACTAGGCCTGCAGAGTCATGGTGGGCCACCCCCATCCCCACTATGATCAGTTCTTTGAAACTGTACAGTGCAATTACCTGGTTGTGTCCTACGCCCATTAATTGTGATTAAATTAGCCTGGGAATGGGCAGTGTTTGGGGGATTTTAAGAGAGATCCCTGTTGTGGTTTAGATGTGAGGTGTCCCCCTAGATCTCATGTGTGAGACAATGCAAGAAAAGCTTAGAGGTGAAATGTTTGGGTGATGGGAGCTTGAACCTCATTAATGCATTAATCTTCTGATATGGATTAACTGGCTGGTAGCTGTAGGCAGGTAGGGTGTGGCTGGAGGAGGTGGGTCAATGGCTGTGCACTTAGGGTTTATATTTTGTGGTGAGGGCAGCTCTCTCTGCTTCCTGGTGTGAGGTCCTGGGCTGCTCTCCTCTGCCACACCCTTCCGCCATGATGTTCTGCCTCACCTCTGACCCAAAGCAATGGAGTCAACTGTGACCCCCCAAATCAACGTTTCCTCCTCAATTTTTTTTTTCTTATCAGGTCTTTTGATCACAGTGGCAAAAATGCTGACTAAAGCATCCTCAAAACTTAAAATTATAAAACTAAAGATCCCCAGGTGGTTCTAATATGCAAGCAGACTTGGGTACTACTGTTCTAAGCAGGCTTCACAATTATCTTCTTAAAAAAGACCCATCTAACCTTGACCCCAATGTGCATAAAGATCACTACAGACTCTCTTGACCATCAAGGAAGTCTCTGCCTGAGAAATTCTTCATATGCCTTTCCTGAGCTCCCTGGGCAGCTCTTGCCTCTGGTACTTCCACAGGACTCCATTTGTCCAACCACCCACTCACTCACTTATTCACTCGTTCCTTCCATAGCTGCATCGGCACCCATTATTTGGTCCACTGTATGCCAGGGACCAAATTCTAAGGACACTGATTTATAACAGCCACAGTTTTCTGCATGCCCTGTGCTTACCTTCTAGCATCAACACTTCAATTAGCACTAATAGAATGGTAATTAGTGTAATTATTATTTGATGTATTAGTTGTAATTATCAAAAGACTGGCAGCTGCTTAACCACACACTGGTCATCTCTGTAGGCCCAGTACCAAAAAAACAGCCCACAGAAGGCACAGAATGAGAGGCTTTGAAGTGCAGGAACACATCCACTTTACAGGTTGTGTACCCAACGTGTTTTAGAGCAAGCAGGAAGAAGGCAAGAGGAGGCAGCCTGCCCTGCCGAAGAAACAGGAGTGATGATGAAGGGTTCAGAGGCCTTAGGTTTACACAGCTCTGAGAGGAGAACTGTGGGCAAGATCACTGGCTTTAAAGTCAGACACAGCACCAAAGCCCGGTTCTGCCATACGTTGTCCCTGGCACCTAAGAACTCATTTTTGGTTTGAACCTCAGTTTCCTCATTTTATGCAGACAGCAACAACACCTACTTTCTGGTGTAAAGGACCAAAACCCTTCTGAATTCAACCCTAGTGTGATTAGTCCCTGGTGCACAGTAAGTGGTCCACAAAGGTTGGCTATTAATAATCATCATCAACATTATGGCTGTCGTAACTGTTGATGCAAATGTTGTAATTAAACTTTTGTCATGGTACCAGGCATCTGGAAATAACTAACAAATGATAGCTGATACGATCTTACTGACATTGTTGCTTTTATCTCAATATACTGCCACCAACCAGGTGTGGACCTCGAACCTAATACAAGTGACCTCCCTGGGTATCAATGTCCTGTGCAATAGAGGGAGAACAGGGTGAAACATACTTTGTTTTAACACCCTCCCAATCTCTAGAATGTTCACTGAAGGTGCTTCTTCTGGAACTACTTGACATAGCAGCATGAAGCTTGGCTTCGGGGCAGGAAAGTCTCTAGAGGCAGTTACCCAGGAATGAGGGAGTCTGAATGTCCCTGGAAGGCCAGCTGTGTCAGTCTAGAAGGGGTTGAGAGAGGACCGGCGCTAGATGCAAATTTCATTGAAAACAAAGACTAAGGAAGAGTGAACAGACCGAGTTAAAAGTTGGCTAATTGAAAACGAATTGGTTTGAGACTTTCAGGAAATTCATTTCATCCAAATTACATTATAAATAGGAACCTGCCCTGTTTTAAGATTAAGAAAGCTTGACACTGAGTAGGGAATGGTATGAATTTCAGCAAGAGACCGGGAATTAGGAAAGTCAATAATGTTTTCTGCTGCAGATGTTGGAAGCACCTGTAACAGCAAAGAATAAGCTCCTTAGTTTGAATTTTCCAGCATTCATTTATGAAGCCTCAGGAGCCTACAGCTACAATGAAAACATATTATCCTTCTCACAGTGTATGTATTTAGCTCCTGAAAATAATCTTCTTATCTCCTGTTTAGTGAATTATCACTTTCATTTTCCTCCACAAGAAATTACACACTAATAGAGGGCTTTACAAGTTTACAATTTCTTTTTTGTATTCTGATTTTAAAATTGAAAAGTAATCTCCTTACTCCTTGAGCTCAGCCAGTGAGGCTGAAATCCGAATGTCATGGCCCAGTAAGTACAGAGATGTAATTAAATCACTCCACTGAACTAATTCACCGAGAGGGCCACCACTGAATGCCGTCTCCGCGATCTTAAATCCAGATTCCTTGGTCAGGAGTCCCAGGTGAACGAGGACCTGAAAAACAGAGGCACACACTGATTTGCACTGAACCAAGAATAAAGTCCACAGAAACACACCACAAACCCACCAACCAGTTCCAAAGACACGTCCCATGAGATCTCAGTGTGGAGTGTGCCAGTTTTCTAGAAGGTACAAAGAAAGGAGGGAAATAATTTTTCATTGTTTTAGAAAAATTGAATCATTAAACTCAGAATTCAAGGAAAGTAACCCAGGACAAGAGAGTATCTTTTAACAATACTGGGCCTTCTCCCCATATCTGGGATATTTTTAACCTTTTACTGTGGAAAATGTTGAACATCCAGAAAAGCAGGCATGATGACACTGTCAACCCAATACACTCACCACGAAGCTTCAACATTATCAATTCATGACAAATCTTAGTCTACACCCCTTTTCTTCTAATCCCTCTAAATTATCTTAAAGCAAATTCTGTCTGTAAATATTTCAGTATGTATCTCTAAATGAAACAAACCATTTAAACACACACACACACACACAGTTAAAACATCCCTGTGTTCCCAAACAAGCTAATAATTCCTTAATATCATCCAACACCCAGTTAATATTTATACTTTCTCAGCTGAACCTTTGTTAAGTGTGGTTGTGTGATTCAGAACCCAAAGTGCACATGCTAGAGTTGACTCCTCGCCTCTTCATAATTCCTAGTAATTTTTTTTTTTTTTGGTTGACAAAGAGGAGTGTTAACATTTACTTACCAAAGACTCTGTGTTGTATTTCCAAAAGTCTCTTACATTCTGGATTTTACTCATTACAATCCCAAGGTATTGTAAAACAGATTATTCTGTTCCTTGTATTTATGGTAAATGAGTAGTTAGATCATCAGTTCTGATGAAATTCAGGTTCAATTTATTATTATTGGCAATACTAGTTCACATGTGTCACTGTGTACTTTCATTGGTGGGAACTACGTCTCAGTCTGTTTTGGGATTTCAGTAGCTATGGATAATTACTAACTAGACCATTAATCAATTTGGGCTGCAAAATAGTGATACTATGTAATTTCTTCATTAGCTAGAATATTTCTATAAAGACCAACTACTTCCTATTGGTCACCGTGAAGTACAGCTTGCTTAGAGCCTGGTAAATACTTGATTTTTGCCCTTTATTTATCTGTTTTTAGAAGAACAAGTATGTTACATTTAGCCAACTCTTAATACTGATCCATGGGGTTTCAGTTTCAAAATATTATAAAATCATGGATGTAAGCATATTTAATTTGTTTCAAAAATTCTGGTTATTATCCTACTATCAAACTGTCCCATGTTGGCCAGTGAGAGGCTATTCAAGGTATCTTCTCTGCTCTTGAATATGATAAAATGTTCTAAGCTCAAATTCTGTCTCAGAACTTAATAAGTAATTTTTCCAAGAACCTCTTATACCACCAAGTGAAAATAGCATTTAGAGATCAAAGTCTAGGGCTTAAGAGACTCTAGTTAATCACCATTTGGATGACTTTTCAGCGGCTCTAACTAGGAAATGTATTTTTCCACTAAGATAAAACAAATCATGAGTTCTTATTGATATTTCCAAATCAAACACAGGATTGTAATATTTTTACATAACATTATTCATCTTACACATTATTTCCTATCTCCCACAATGAAAGCCCACCTGTCAAAGATACCAACATAGTCATTTGCAGTATTCTAACATTCACAATGGATTCAGAATGAGAATATCAATACTTCCAAACACCATATGATTTGCAAAAATTGTTTAAAAATATTTTTGCGGTTCTTTTTGGCCTCTGGGATGTTCCATTAAAATGTTCAAGTTATTGTGTTCTAAAGGCATCAAGAATCATCTTTCCCTCTGTGTGCTTGTATCAAAACTGAATGGATATAGTGTCAGTTGATTATTTTCTTTATGATTTGTTAGGTATGGTTTCTTTCATAATTATATTTTCACACTTAAATGGCTCCAGTGTCAAAACTACAAAGTAAGATATATTCTCAGAGAAGTCTACTTTCTATTCCTGTTGCTTTCAGAAGTCCCCCTTTCAGCCACTTTTCCCTCATTGTGGTAAAATATGCAGGACATCAAATTCACTGTTTTAGCATACACCATTGAGCAGCATTAAGAACATTCACATTATTATGCAACCACTGCTCCATCTACCTATTATAGTTTTAGTATTATAGTTTATTTTCCAATTTGTAAAACTATGAAAAATAAACATGTATGTTATGTATTGCACACGTGCGTATGTATAGATCTACATGTATATTTGAAAAACTCCCTCTCTCTTTTAAAAAAATAATGCATGTCATTCTCCTCTTTTCTTCTTTACCCAACAACAGTATGTACTGGAGATTTCTCCGTAGGACTACATAAGCAGCAATGTATGAGTGTATCCTTTTCCCCACATTCTTGCCAATGTTTATTGATACCTATATTCTTGATAAATTGCCATTATGACAATCAGTGTGGTTTTAATTTGCATTTTTCTAATTGCTAGAGATGTTGAACATTTTTTCATGTATTTATTGACCATTTTTATTTCTTTTGAAAAGTGTCAGTTCAGTTCCTTTGCCCATTTATTGATTGGGTTATTTGGGGTTTTTTGGTGATAAGCTTTTTGTGGGGAAAAGGAGACACTTGGATATTGCGGCTGGGACGGAAAATTGTTGCAGCCGCTCTAAAAAGCAGTATAGAGATTCCTCAAAAAACGAGGAATGAACCCCACCATTTGACTCAGTTATATCACCTCTCAGTATATATATATATATATCCAAAGGTTTGTAAAATCAGCCTACTACAGTGATGTAGCCATATCATTATTTATTGCAGCTCAATTCATGATAGGTAAACTGTGGAGCCAACTTGAGCCCTTCAACAGATGAATGGATGAAGAAAATATGGTACATTTATATATGTGGAATATTACTCAGCCATAAAGAAGAATGACTTTATGACATTTGCCAGTAAATGAATGGATCTGGAGACTATCATGCTAAGTGAAATAAGCCAATTCCCCCTGAAAAAGAGTCGAATGTTCTGATATGTGGATACTATCACACAACAAAAGAGGGGAGGGGAAAAGTAGATGTTCAATAGTTTAGACAAAGGGGAATAAAGGGAAGGGAGGAGGGATATAAATAAGAAAGATAGTGGAATTGAATCTGAAATAGCAAGTTTATGTACATACATTTGCATATATATACCACAGTGAATCTCCACATCATGTACATCCACAAGACTAGGATTCTAATTAGAATAAAATATACTTGATATTTGTATAAATATGTCAAAATTGACTCTACTGTCATGTGTATCTAAAAAGAACAAAACAAACTAAAAAAACCAAAACAACAAAACAAGCATTCTGTACTTCTTTTTCTAGCACACCTGCAGCATCTGACTACATGTTCTTCCATACATGCCTGTCTGGTGCCAGAATGCTTGAGGTTGCCCTCCTAATGGATTCAAACAAAACTGACCCCATCAAACCGTGACTTGGGGGCTTACAAAGTGTATCTGTATTTCAAAGAAATCCAATTAGTCAAGTTAGGAATACTAAACTCATTTTGAAGTTCTTTTTAGATGTAGGAACAAACCATTCACACATTGCTCAGTTCTGAACTCAGAACAGTTAATCCAAAGTCGTCTTACTTAATCTATAACCAATAAGGCATAAGAGCTTCTAAGCCCAGGGGCATTCTAGGTTTCCAAGCATCTCAGGGACATAGCTCTATCTCCCAGGAACATATGCAGAAGTGCCAAACCAAACAGCATAGCAGTGGAACTCACCAGTTGCCCAGACAACAAAAATGAGAAGTGGCCATGATGAAGTAATACTAAGTTCTCAAAGGTTGGATTCAGATAAAGAAATGGGAAAGTTTCCTCTTATCCTGAGAGAGTCAATAGGTGGTTCAAAGGAAAATCTGGCAGGCAGATATTTTGCTTACCTTCATCCAAGAATTTTGTGCTAGTCCTTGCTAAATGAGAGTATTAAGGGAAAGAAACCCCTCAAAAAGGACTGTAAAACAGGCAGAGATGATCCACCCTGAAGGAAGATCATTTGAGACATGACATTTCTCTTAGTCTGGTTTCCAAGCAAAACCAAGTTGTAAAAGAAAACTGGCATCTAACTGAAGTGAATTCAGAAGAAACTCACTTTCTTCCGTTTTCTCTTTTCAAGATTCTGCTTTTCTGCCAGGGACTTGATTGCTTGAATCCACGCATCAGCCATTCTCCGGATCCTGAGTCTCATCCACCGGAATTCTTCATGCTTTTTCATCATGCTGTAGAGAATATTAAAATCCGTACGAATTTCCGCCTAGAAATGGAAATTTAATAAAATGAATAGAAGATAAAAAGTCAGAAAGCATAATGGTTTTCATGATGTGACATTTGAAAACTTGAAAGAGATAGTCAATTAAATCCAGGGCTTCAAAAGTGAGTCTTGTCTTGCTGCACAGCTTTTTAGTGGTAGGTCCCCAGCACTGAAAATTGAAGCGAAGGCCCCTGACTGCTGATTTGTTATAAGGGACATCATTAAAAAATTAGAAAAGTGGCACTGTGGCTGCAAAGCCCTGGGCTACGTTAAAAATGCACTTTTTACAATGAATACATGTGATGTACCTTGAAATCCTCTGTGCTGAAATTTATAGTGCCACTTGGATCTGTTACAAGGCAGCAGACTTGTGGGAAAACTGAAGTCAACCCTGCACAGTCTACCCAACATCCTGTTGGCTGCCAGAGAGACTCCTTCTGTCCACACAGTTAAATGGCCAAATAAATGTTCATCTTTTAGTTCATTCCAGTTAAAAATTTATTATTTTCTAGGGAATTTAAAAGTCTAGGATATTGGTTTTTATCCCCTACCACAGCTGAATACAATTTGAAAATCAGACTAGAAAAACTTAAACCCAGGAAGAGTATTTTCCTTCCTATTCTACATAATATAGTTGGATAAAACTCATGCGTGGAACAACAGAGAAACATGATGATACCAGTATTTATTTCACAGGAAACCTCAAATTTGCTGAATCCATCTCTCAGTAGTTGCCAGAGTTCATTGTAAACCCTCATCTCCTTCCTTGACAATATCCCAAGGCCCCCACGGTCTACAGAAAGGGTCAACAAACTCTGGCCCTAGGGCCAGTGCTCTTCACTGCCTGTTTCTAGTGCATAAAGTTTTACGGGCATAAAGCCACACCCCGTGATTAATATACTGTCAAATGGCTACTCTGCTAAAATGGCAAAGCTGTATATGGCTTGCAAATATAAAAATATTTACTATCTGGTCTCATATTAGTAAAAGTTTGTTGATCCCTGGTCTAAATAATAAAGGCCTGAGCTTTCAAGGTGGTACCACTGTTCATGATCCCCTTCCTACCTTTCAAATCTCATCTTCAACCCAGCTCATACAAACTCTTTGGCCTTGTGACACAGAGCCATGTTCTACAATAACGAGTGCTCACTTACACATATCAGAGACATCATTTTCTCCCTGACCTCATAGAAACACATCATTTTAAATTTAGCGCGATGTCATCTCCTCTATGCAATCCACTTCAACCCCTGCAGGCTGACTTGCCTCCACCTCATTAATGTCCATCGGCCTGCATTAAAGCACAGTGACAGACATGGTAATTATTTACAACCATCCCCCTCATTAGATCATCTAGGGCCTCCACATCTGGCACCTGATCTCATCTCAATCACTAGTCCATCACTTAGGGACCCTCGGAAAATTGCTTAATAAGTAAATCTATGCTAACTGGTTGACTTATTTGGTCACCCAGACTCCCAGAGAACAGTGACAGAAGTTCGTCTGTTGAACACTATTTCAGATTACAGCTGGCATTTCTAAAAGACTCCCCATCTATCAATTAGCATCTGACCTAAATGCACTCGTCTAGGAAGAGTTTTCCAAAATCATTTACCAATGAATTATGATCAGCTTCTTCGTAGGGATTTTTTGCTCTCCAAGGTAAATGAGGACACCAATTTTCAACCTGAAAAACATAAATCATCCACAGTAAGTATGCTGGTTCATCTTCAAATGGATTACCATAGGCACAAAGCACTCAGAACAGTTCCTGGCACACAATGAACACTGTAGCAACGGGAGGTATTATTAGCCAGCTCCCATGATTTTAGCTAGCTATAGCACCACGTATGCAGGAATAATGAGCAAAGGTCAGAAGGAGCATGTGATGACCGTTTATATGGGTCTTTCCTAGTACTCTACTGGGACTGATTCCTTACATTTCTGTACCGTGGGGTCTTATAAGGAGAAGGATGAAAGACTCAAGCACTGCTGCTGGGAAATGTGAATGTAAAAGCACCTCTGTGACCATTTAAACAAATGGACAGGAATGATCTGGTATTTGCTGTGGCAGGTACACAAAGGACATAGGATGGCATTTGAGTCACAGAACTCACTCCTTCATGGGAGAATTAGATAGTTTACTATCTAATTCAGCAACTGATAGTTTAAGGCAAATTGGTGAGGGCCTTCTCTCATTTTCTGGCTGTTCGCATCACACTGTCTCGAGAAATTAGGTAAGGAAGAGAAGGAAGGAAAAATGGAGGGGTGGGAGGAGAATTCTTGGTGATCTTAATAAGAGTCCATGGACTGTTTTTCTCAATGTACAAGAGTTTAGAGTTGTGGAGAGGAAGAACACAGAAAGTAAAAAAGTGCCAGATCTTATAGGATTACTTCGGTAAAGGTTTCCAAAGAAAATTCTGCAAAAATTCATCATTTCTAGTAAAGGAAAGATGAGAAATGATTGAGTAATGTTGATGTCTGGCCTCTGACTAAAACAGATATAAAATTCCAAGATAATATTACTCATTTGCTAATAAATAATGACATTGAAATAATTTTTTTAATGACACGTGGACCTACAAAATTTAACCGTGAGAAATGTCCTTGGAGAGGACACTGAGCTGCAGGACTGTAGTGGGGGTGGGAGGGTGGGGACTGGAGCCTCCTGGGTCAGCAGAGCAGTCAAACGAGACACTTTGCCCCGTAGGTCTGGGTGAGTTTTCAAAGAAACATGTCAGTTTCACTAATCTAGAAGTTACTCCTAATGCAAAGTGATTTTTTACTATGACCAAAAATAATTGGCCTGATTTGCATAAAGCCACCTGCCACTGCAAATGATCTGAAAGCAGTGAGCCGAGGGCAGCAAGGCTCAGGGGAGGGCAGAACCCCTAGAAAGGCAAAGAGCAATGTTCTCTTTTTTTTTCTTATGGAGTAAAATTAGACTTTATACTTGTAAATGACCTCAGAGACTCAAAAACACTACCCATAAGAAAAGCTGAAATTATTTTTACTCATTAAAAGAAAAAAAGAAAGAAAATACTAACTTGCCTTGGAGGCTCATGATCTAATTACTAGGACCTTTCAGCAATATGACTATGAAAGGCAATCTGTGGACTCCACAAATGAGAAAAAAAAACGAGGAAAAATGGCAGAAAAGAGGTTGCGAGAGATGAAGCCGAGCTGGTCCCAGCAGCGTTACACACATCTGTACCTCTTATTCTCAGGTTGGGCTGAATTATTTAGCTCCAATTAAATTTTTGTAAATGGACTCAATAAAACATCCCTATAAAGCATATTTGTAATAGGAAGGCTTCAGATAGATTGCAGAGCTGACTGTGAGACCTTCAACCACACACAAACAACAAGCAAGCAGGGTCAGATTTGAAATAAGCCTCACAACTGAATAAATAACCAGGTTTATAAAGCAATCTGCCAGGATAAAAGATTTCCCCTTGAAGAGCATGATGGAGAAAGATAAAAACAAGACTATGAATAAAGGAAATCAACTAAAAGGAGACACATTAGTGGGACCCATATTGGTAAAGTAGAGTACACTCCCTCCTCTGTCCTGAGAATATTCCAAGATTTGCTCTGATGAAAATACATTCCAAGGTGATCTAAAATATGTCTTTCCTAAAGAACCCTGGAGACTGTAATTCCTCTTTGAAGAGGAACATTTATCTTAGTTTTTCTTACTCTAAATCACTGCATACTACTTTGCAAGGCTCCAAGGGCATTCCTACAAATACGGAAAATAGAGTCAGTGCGACAGAGCTTTTAGGGAGAAATGTCACCATTACACATGTACTCACTTAGAATGGTGGAAAAATCGATCCTTAACATCCCAGCACAGAAAGGAGGGTGAGTTTTTAAGGCTGCTTTTGTACACAGTGATAGGATAACTGGTTAATGAAATAATTAAATTATACGTAAACCAATTACCCCACAGGGAGAAGGGGAAAATAAAACAGCATCTTTCTAAAACCTCAAGAGGATTGATTACCAGGATTGGAAGAAAGCCAACACTGGCAGTAACTCCAAGTGCTGAAGCAAACAGCCATCCAATGAACAACATTTTCCTAAATAAGAGCACCACTAAGAACATTCAGGGAAAATCTTGATCTCGGTTAATAACTCAAACTCTTGATACCTAACTGTGTTTTCTGTCTGATCTGCCCAGGATCCTACAATGAGCTTAAGCCACCAGCATAGTATCCTTCCAATAAAGGTAGACCCCAGGAGACCACCTGGATGCAGCCCTGTTTTAGATCATTCTGAAGAGCTCCTCTCCTGGCTCACAGGACTCCAGTGTCCTACACCTGAGTGTGGCCACCTTCTTCCAACTGCCTGGACCATACTTTTTCAGCTGTGGCTCTGTGTAGTTGCCCTCAGTGTAGGGCTTCCACTCATCTCTTTCCAACTCTAATAGCCTGAGTAAGTCCTGCCTGAAGCCCTCTACCAGGGAAGGGACTCGAAATCTTTAATAGTATCCTGTAATTTACCCAAGTCAATTCAAAAATAGAAAACCATCTGAATGCACAGTAACACGCACACAACAATCAATAGAGCAGCAGAACCATTACTGTAATAACCTTCGATTGGAAGACAAAACTCCTTGGACATGAGCTAATCTTTTTTAAGCATTCATCTTAGGACACAAAATGAGGAGCAGCAAAAGCAAAGACAAGCCAGGCTAGAACTTTGGAACATTGATGCATATTCCAGCGAGGGCCCTGTCAATCACTCTTCTCTGAGCGAGGAGATATAAAATAAGACAATTTGGTTTTTGACATTCTTACTTCTGGTGATTTAGCCTTCTTTGAACTAAGAAGGTTTTGAAGCTTAATCATGAGGATTGTGAATCAAAGAGTTCTCCAAGTCCCTAAAAAATTCTAACTAGGTCAGGATTATTTTCAAGGTCCACAGGATGGACAAATTCATTATGTTTAAAAGAAACTGCTGGTAGATACACATATAGCTCACCTTAGAGTTTAAAGGGGAATGAGGAAGTAATAAAGTAGTTGTAAAAATGAAAAATGATAGATGACTCCAGAGGTCTATATGCATGTTGGTACACATATATGGCATATGCTATAGTTATGTTCTTAAAACAAAACAAAACAGAACAATTGTCTATGTCTTTCACTATTAATGTAAAGTGTTTTGTTTTAGTGGATCACTGACATACAGGATTTCATGCTATATTTTTCAGATGGAAAGTATAGTCAGAACTAAGTGGAAAAAAATATGCAAGAGAAACCAGATTATCTTGGATAATTGTGTTATGGGTGCTTTTGATTTTTATAACAAACATTAATGAATAGAATATACATGACATTATTACATAAATATATAATCATTTACTTCAGGCTGAGAATAGGTCAACCTCCAGTGAAAAATATAAACACACAAAAACTTGTGTGCACAACATCATTTGATACATGGAGGACCCTATGATGTAATACTAATACTGTCGCTATGCTACATGTGGGGGGAGAGGAGGGATCAAGGCACATGGGAAGTTGCCAAGGTAACTCTGTGTGTGTGTGGCAGGACTGGATGACAACTTCACCTTAAGGCCAAGGTTAGTGAGAGACAAGAGAGAGGCTCAACGGGGAAGGAGTACAGAATCCAGAATTAGTCAAAATAGATTACATGTACAACTCTACAAAGAACTATGCATGTAACAAACCATTTGCCTTTTGTGCTTTCTTGTCTGCAAGGTGAAGGAGCTTGATAATGTGACCAGTTTCATTCTATTATCTGCTAAGATCAGAAAGGAAGCCAGGCACGGTGGTGCACACCTGTAATCCCAGTGGCTGCGGAGGCTGAAGCAGGAGGAATGCAAGTTCAAAGCTAGCCTTAGCAAAGGTGACTTTGTGAGACCCTATCAAAATAGAGAGCCCTATACAAAATAGGGCTGAGGATGTGGCTCAGTGGTTGAATGCGCCCGAGTTCAATCCTCAGTAGCCCCACGCCCAACGAGAGAAAGAACAATCATAAAGAGAATTTCATACCATCCTCTTACACCAGTTATTTTCAAATAAGTAAAACTGTCATTTATGCACACACAAGTAATTTGTTATATTAATGACACAGTAAATGAAGTTACTTATTAATGACTATGCTACAAAAATCTAAAAAGACTTCTCCCTACCACACACTGCTGGTTGTTCACTCTACCTTCTAGTGTTTCAAAAGGGAAATGCAGCAGCACAAGACTCCTGCACCTGGTGAGTGGCTCAGCTATCTAGACATCTCTGCACTAAACACCTGCGTTCATTAATATGTTGTCCCAGCAGCTTGCTGAGTGGTTATGCGAAGGAGACAGAGTGTGCGAGACAAAGGAGAGGAAAATGCTAGAAAGCAGCAGGAACCAAGTGTATGGATCAACCCTCAACATACGTCACCTCACTTGGGTGTTCAAATAATTTTGAGGGAAAGAAAGAGCATCATACAGATGAAGATAGCAAGAAAGAGACTACACATGGCAAGGGCCAAAATAACACCTGTCCCTCTCACAACAGAGCCATGCTTGCTAAGCACATAAACTAGAAGATGGTTCCTACATCCCCATAAGCATAGTCTAGGCTCCATGTTAAGACAGTATGGCTTAAATCTTCTGTATAACATCCTTTAAAAAATCATCTAGTGTGTTCCTACCACGTAGCAGTACTAACGTCA